GCTCTGGTACAAATCACTGGGTATAGTCCTAAAGAAGGAGGGATATTTCACTTTGTCACTCAGACATGCACAAGTGGCAAAGTGGCTGATCTGGAATAGTTTGAAACAACCATTATAAACATAATGAACATGTCTACATATGGAATGTCATCAGTACATATTTAAACGTTACCATTGGCAAATGAAAAGGACCGAGGACTGTAGCTATGGCCATGCAAGGAGAAGATGACGTATCTCCTATAATGGCATGCACATGAGCTGATTTGGTGCATGGCATTTCAGAGGACACAAGTACTTCTTCATTGCCATTAGTCAGCGCTAGTGCTCCTCTCACTGCTACAGCAATAGAGCCACAGGCATCATACATCTTGTAGCCCAGAGAAAGACCAGGCAGAATGTCCAAGCTGTTGTTAATTTCTTCAATAGCAAACAGCATAGCCTGGGCAAACTGGAAATCTCTAAAGTTCAAACTAAAGTAATAAAGCAACAAAAACAATTATTTAAAATGGATGAAGTTAAACCTCAGAAACTGTGTATACCACAGTTATTGTTTTCACCCAAAAGAACATTTACCTACAGTATTTCTTACCTTGTACATTGCAGTGGATTAGGTTTTTGTGTAAAATTGTGTAGCCTGTTTATCCAGCTACTGTGAAAAGAAAGGATTGCTCCCAACATAACATCTCCATCCTTGGATATATGAGGTTTTTCGATTTCCCCTATCTGCTGACAGACTGGCTCACGAGCATGTGAAAATGATGCCACCAGCAGCAGTTGAAGGAAAGCCCAGCCCTGCTCTGGCCACCTCTGTGCAATCGTCACACTGTTTAAATCCAACATGACCACACATTAAACCTATCTGATCTGTGGAATGAATTTATAGTTATTAATTTCCCTGCAGACAGAATCCCTGTGGTGCATCAAAGTGCGTTACCAACTTTACATGATTAAAAATGTTCATAGACAAATAATTTCCAAGTCAAGTTAAAACTGTGGACATTTTTAATATTTAATATATGCATTAAAACCATGTCACATTTTGGCGTTAGTGGCAGGACCTTTCTTAAAACTTGAGAGTTGTGATCATTTCAAAGCTGTTTTGAATATGACTATAGCTATCAGGTAGAAACTGCTGTATCTTACTGATATTTGTTTCATTATGCTTAAAGTACATAATGTATCTAGCATAAGCCAAACCCCCTGGTTTACACAAACAGATGTTAAAACATAGATTAAAGGTGCAGAGGGTTAAAATACATGACAACAAGCAACAACCAAAAATCTGTCAAGAAACAGAAAGTATTTTTTGTTTACTCTAGCTGTAGTCATGGTTTCACATGCACCACAAACTTGGAATTACTAAAGGTTATTTTTGGAATCGCTGAAATCGTTCATGTGATTGAAAATTGTAATTCAGGTACAATTTATATTTTATTAAACATGAGTTATGTTTGGGTGATGTTAGTAGCTCATGTAACAGAGCCCTGCCTCTGGACCCAGAGTTTTGCCCAGAGCATGGAAACACAAGTCGACTGGAGGTGGTCCTGACAAACTGAACCAGGCTGAGATGATGCCAAGTGTACCGTGCCCATGGAAAAGAGATTTAACTGTAGCCATTACATTTTACTATTTCCCTTACCCATAATGTTTTTTTTTGTGTTCTTCTCTGGTTTTAACAAAATTATGTAACACTTGGGAAGAAAAATACAAAACAGTAGACCAAAACTAGAGGCCAGGATTGCAAAGATCTCCACTGCCACACTAAACTTTCCTGGAGAGCTGACATAAGCTGGGATAAAAGTGATCCAGACTGCACAGAAGATCAACATGCTGAAGGTGATGAACTTGGCCTCATTAAAGTTATCAGGAAGTTTACGAGCCAAGAACGCCAACACAAAACACAATAAAGCTAACAGACCTATATATCCAAGAACTGCCCAGAAACCAATATCTGAACCCATGGCACACTCTATAATGATTTTGTCAGTAAATTGTTTCACATTTCTGAATGGAAATGGAGGCGATATTGTTAACCAGAGGACACAGATCAACACCTGGATCAGAGTAAAACCTACAACACTGAGCCTCTGCTGAAGAGGCCCAAACCATTTCATGACATTACTGCCTGGAAGTGTGGCTCTGAAGGCCATGAGCACCACTATAGTCTTCCCCAGAACACAAGAGATACAGAGGACAAAGATGATGCCAAATGCAGTGTGGCGTAGCATGCAGGACCACTCAGAGGGACGACCGATGAAGGTGAGAGAGCACAGGAAACACAGACTCAGGGAGAAGAGCAGCAGGAAGCTCAGCTCAGAGTTATTGGCTCTCACTACTGGAGTTTTCCTGTATTTGTAGAAAACCCAGGCCACAGCACAAGTCATGCACGTCCCAAATAAAGAGGCTGCCGTGAGCAGGGCTCCCATGATTTCTTCATAAGATAAAAACTCGGTTTCCTTCTTCACACATGTGTCTCTTTGGGCATTGGACCAAAAATCTGAAGGACATTGGACACAAGTGATGGAATCTGAAAATGGACAAATGAATGTGTTTAAATCAGTGCTATCAGACACAGTGCAGGAGTTATTGAAGTGGTGGTAAATGTGGCGAGTGCAACTTGTTTGCAAAAGCAAAACCTGCACAACCTGTGCTGTTGCTTATTTCTCCTTCTGCACAAGGCACACAGTCGTAACAGCACACTGGCTTTCCTTTCTGGAGCACCTTACGTGTTCCAGGAGAACACGCTTTGCTGCAAATTGATACTGGCACCTGGATCACACAAAGAAAGAACAGTTATTTGAACAACTTTATTCTACTTAATACTGTGACCACTTTAAATTACTCACCTGCTTAGAATTCTGGGCCCAATTTAAAGACACATTTTGTAGCTTCAGTTGTCTGTGAGTAGGAAGAGAAGCATCATAAAGGCCCACTGTGACAAAGTCCACTGTGCCCTGTGCAGTGGGTTGCCAGTTTATGATTTCATATTTAGCAGCAGGATCACCGTTCTCATTGAAATACACCTCTTCTCCTTCTTTTGTTTGGAAATGAATGTTTTTCAAATGTTGCAAAATCTAATAATGAAAGGCACAGTTACTGAAGTACTTTCAGTGTATAATATTCATCACATGTCCTTACTCACCATGTGAGGATCCAAAGTCACATCTGTTTGACAGGTTTTGTTACATTTGAGGATTTTATGCAGTGCATGGGCCACTGCATACACTCCCTTATAGATATTGTTAAAGATTGGCATCAGAGACATGTCAGTGAAGCTGTTGTCCACTTGACTCAGGTCTTCAGTTCCTGTACATCTTTTGTGATAGCTCTCTGCATGAAATTTACAGTTGAACAGTTCTTCCCAGAACTCAGTAAATAACTGATTACCAGACATGTTGAGTGGTCTCACATCCATCATGAACTCCTTCATGCCACTGACATGAGTTTTTGGGATGGACAACCCTATGGCCCCATCTAGAATGTGGTGCTTGTCTTTAGCCACAGTTTTAGAATCAAAGATCCAGGCCTCTGTGCCCACCCACTGATAACCAGTCACATTCTGTTCAGATAAGGCTGTGATAAGTACAGCAATCTCATTTGGTGTGAGAAAGGTTACTATCACTTTGGATGTAGACTGTCTTATTCTTTTGACAATATTCAATATTTTTTCAGGTGGGTCAGCTCTTAAAAAGGACACAGAATATTCCAGGCAGATACCGAGCTGATGAGCAGTTTCAACAAAAGTGGCCATGCCATTATTGCCATAATCATCATCTGTTCTGATGGCTCCCACCCATGTCCAACCAAAGTACCTGACTAGCTGGGCCAGCGCTCTGCTCTGGTACAGATCACTGGGTATAGTCCTAAAGAAGGAGGGATATTTCACTTTGTCACTCAGACATGCACAAGTGGCAAAGTGGCTGATCTGGAATAGTTTGAAACAACCATTATAAACATAATGATCATGTCTACATACAGAATGTCATCAGTACATATTTAAATGTTACCATTGGCAAATGAAATGGACCGAGGACTGTAGCTGTGGCCATGCAACGAGAAGATGAATTCTCCCCTATAATGGCCTGCACATGAGCTGATCTGGTGCATAGTGATTCAGAGGACACAAGTACTTCTTCATTGCCCATAGCCAGAGCTATTGCTCCCCCAACTCCATGAAGAATGGACCCACAAGAATCGTACAACTTATAGCCCAGTGAAATGCCTGGCAGTAAGTCTGACCTGTTGTTTATCTCTGTTATAGCAAATAGCATGGCTTGAGCAAACTGGAAATCCCTGAAATTCACGCTATAGGTGGAGATGGTTAGTGCTTACTTTATTCAGTAATGTTCATTCATGATAAGATTTTTGTTATCATTGTGCAAATACAGATTAATAACATGTTGTGTGGTGTGAAGGACGTACCTGATACACTCCCATGGCTTGGGTTTTTCTGTGTAATTATGCTCCCTGATGATCCAGGTTTCATGAAAAGCGAAAATTCCACCAAGAAAAAATTCACCATCTTTTAAGAAACTGAAGTTTGCTTGATCCCCTCTTTTAAAACAAATATTATCTTTGGTATGTAACATAGAAGCCTTAATTAGAAGTACTACCAAAGCATAAATACTTCTTTTCCCTGTGACCATTATTGATGTGACCTGTGGGTGTCAACTCTTTAGAAGCTGCACCCTGCACTTGTTTTTATATCACTGTTATGTCAATGCCATCGCATCACATTAGCTGTTTTGTAATCCCCCGAGAAGGGGTTATTTTTTCTTTCGTAGTAAAACAAAACCTTTCTAATTCACAGTATATTTATCATGTTAGAAATATATCAGTAATATTCTTTTTCATATAAGAGCATTGACTGCCACTCACTTATTTAGTTTAGTCATGGATGAAATAAGAAACTCAAGACAATTGACCTGTTGTATGTGTTATATTTATTTATTGTACATGCTTTAAAGGATAATGGCATATCATTTAAACTATAGCAATGTTCACAGTCCCTTGTGTGAAGCTTTACCCATCAGATGTTTCTTTGTATTGTGTTCAGGCTTGAATAATATGATAAAGTATTTGGGCAAAAATATACAAAACAGCATACCATAACTAGAAGCCAAAATAGCAAATATCTCCACGGCAACAGTAAACTTTCCTGGAGAGCTGACATAAGCTGGGATAAAAGTGATCCAGACTGCACAGAAGATCAACATGCTGAAGGTGATAAACTTGGCCTCATTAAAGTTATCAGGAAGTTTACGAGCCAAGAACGCCAACACAAAACACAACAAAGCTAACAGACCTATGTATCCAAGAACTGCCCAGAAACCAATGGGTGATCCAAGTCCACACTCAAGTATAATCTTTTCTTTATAGTGACTCATATTTTTAAAAGGGAAAGGAGGGTTGATTGTTAACCACAAAATACATATTACACCTTGTACCAGTGTGAAAGCCAGAACACTGAGTCTCTGCTGAAGAGGCCCAAACCATTTCATGACATTACTGCCTGGAAGTGTGGCTCTGAAGGCCATGAGCACCACTATAGTCTTCCCCAGAACACAAGAGATACAGAGGACAAAGGTGATGCCAAATGCAGTGTGGCGCAGCATGCAGGACCACTCAGAGGGACGACCGATGAAGGTGAGAGAGCACAGGAAACACAGACTCAGGGAGAAGAGCAGCAGGAAGCTCAGCTCAGAGTTATTGGCTCTCACTACTGGAGTTTTCCTGTATTTGTAGAAAACCCAGGCCACAGCACAAGTCATGCACGTCCCAAATAAAGAGGCTGCCGTGAGCAGGGCTCCCATGATTTCTTCATAAGATAAAAACTCGGTTTCCTTCTTCACACATGTGTCTCTTTGGGCATTGGACCAAAAATCTGAAGGACATTGGACACAAGTGATGGAATCTGAAAATGGACAAATGAATGTGTTTAAATCAGTGCTATCAGACACAGTGCAGGAGTTATTGAAGTGGTGGTAAATGTGGCGAGTGCAACTTGTTTGCAAAAGCAAAACCTGCACAACCTGTGCTGTTGCTTATTTCTCCTTCTGCTGCACAAGGCACACAGTCGTAACAGCACACTGGCTTTCCTTTCTGGAGCACCTTACGTGTTCCAGGAGAACACGCTTTGCTGCAAACTGATACTGGCACCTGGATCACACAAAGAAAAGAACAGTTATTTGAACAACTTTAGTCTACTTAATACTGTGACCACTTTAAATTACTCACCTGCTTAGAATTCTGGGCCCAATTTAAAGACACATTTTGTAGCTTCAGTTGTCTGTGAGTAGGAAGAGAAGCATCATAAAGGCCCACTGTGACAAAGTCCACTGTGCCCTGTGCAGTGGGTTGCCAGTTTATGATTTCATATTTAGCAGCAGGATCACCGTTCTCATTGAAATACACCTCTTCTCCTTCTTTTGTTTGGAAATGAATGTTTTTCAAATGTTGCAAAATCTAATAATGAAAGGCACAGTTACTGAAGTACTTTCAGTGTATAATATTCATCACATGTCCTTACTCACCATGTGAGGATCCAAGGTCACATCTGTTTGACAAGTTTTGTTACATTTGAGGATTTTATGCAGTGCATGGGCCACTGCATACACTCCCTTATAAACATTGTTAAAGATTGGCATCAGAGACATGTCAGTGAAGCTGTTGTCCACTTGACTCAGGTCTTCAGTTCCTGTACATCTTTTGTGATAGCTCTCTGCATGAAATTTACAGTTGAACAGTTCTTCCCAGAACTCAGTAAATAACTGATTACCAGACATGTTGAGTGGTCTCACATCCATCATGAACTCCTTCATGCCACTGACATGAGTTTTTGGGATGGACAACCCTATGGCCCCATCTAGAATGTGGTGCTTGTCTTTAGCCACAGTTTTAGAATCAAAGATCCAGGCCTCTGTGCCCACCCACTGATAACCAGTCACATTCTGTTCAGATAAGGCTGTGATAAGTACAGCAATCTCATTTGGTGTGAGAAAGGTTACTATCACTTTGGATGTAGACTGTCTTATTCTTTTGACAATATTCAGTATTTTTTCAGGTGGGTCAGCTCTAAAAAAGGACACAGAATATTCCAGGCAGATACCGAGCTGATGAGCAGTTTCAACAAAAGTGGCCATGCCATTATTGCCATAATCATCATCTGTTCTGATGGCTCCCACCCATGTCCAACCAAAGTACCTGACTAGCTGGGCCAGCGCTCTGCTCTGGTACAGATCACTGGGTATAGTCCTAAAGAAGGAGGGATATTTCACTTTGTCACTCAGACATGCACAAGTGGCAAAGTGGCTGATCTGGAATAGTTTGAAACAACCATTATAAACATAATGATCATGTCTACATACAGAATGTCATCAGTACATATTTAAATGTTACCATTGGCAAATGAAATGGACCGAGGACTGTAGCTGTGGCCATGCAAGGAGAAGATGAAGTCTCTCCTATAATGGCCTGCACATGAGCTGATCTGGTGCATAGTGATTCAGAGGACACAAGTACTTCTTCATTGCCCATAGCCAGAGCTATTGCTCCCCCAACTCCATGAAGAATGGACCCACAAGAATCGTACAACTTATAGCCCAGTGAAATGCCTGGCAGTAAGTCTGACCTGTTGTTTATCTCTGTTATAGCAAATAGCATGGCTTGAGCAAACTGGAAATCCCTGAAATTCACGCTATAGGTGGAGATGGTTAGTGCTTACTTTATTCAGTAATGTTCATTCATGATAAGATTTTTGTTATCATTGTGCAAATACAGATTAATAACATGTTGTGTGGTGTGAAGGACGTACCTGATACACTCCCATGGCTTGGGTTTTTCTGTGTAATTATGCTCCCTGATGATCCAGGTTTCATGAAAAGCGAAAATTCCACCAAGAAAAAATTCACCATCTTTTAAGAAACTGAAGTTTGCTTGATCCCCTCTTTTAAAACAAATATTATCTTTGGTATGTAACATAGAAGCCTTAATTAGAAGTACTACCAAAGCATAAATACTTCTTTTCCCTGTGACCATTATTGATGTGACCTGTGGGTGTCAACTCTTTAGAAGCTGCACCCTGCACTTGTTTTTATATCACTGTTATGTCAATGCCATCGCATCACATTAGCTGTTTTGTAATCCCCCGAGAAGGGGTTATTTTTTCTCTCGTAGTAAAACAAAACCTTTCTAATTCACAGTATATTTATCATGTTAGAAATATATCACCCCAGACACGTCCTCCAGCTCCTCGGGGTTCCCCCAGAGGAGCTGGAGGACGTGTCTGGGGTGAAGGAAGTCTGGGAGTCCCTGCTTAGGCTGCTGCCCCCACGACCCGGCCCCGGATAAGCGGACGAAAATGGATGGATGGATAGAAATACATCAGTAATATTCTTTTTCATATAAGAGCATTGACTGCCACTCAATTATTTAGTTTAGTCATGGATGAAATAAGAAACTCAAGACAATTGACCTGTTGTATGTGTTATATTTATTTATTGTACATGCTTTAAAGGATAATGGCATATCATTTAAACTATAGCAATGTTCACAGTCCCTTGTGTGAAGCTTTACCCATCAGATGTTTCTTTGTATTGTGTTCAGGCTTGAATAATATGATAAAGCATTTGGGCAAAAATATACAAAACAGCATACCATAACTAGAAGCCAAAATAGCAAATATCTCCACGGCAACAGTAAACTTTCCTGGAGAGCTGACATAAGCTGGGATAAAAGTGATCCAGACTGCACAGAAGATCAACATGCTGAAGGTGATAAACTTGGCCTCATTAAAGTTATCAGGAAGTTTACGAGCCAAGAACGCCAACACAAAACACAACAAAGCTAACAGACCTATGTATCCAAGAACTGCCCAGAAACCAATGGGTGATCCAAGTCCACACTCAAGTATAATCTTTTCTTTATAGTGACTCATATTTTTAAAAGGGAAAGGAGGGTTGATTGTTAACCACAAAATACATATTACAACTTGTACTAGTGTGAAAGCCAGAACACTGAGTCTCTGCTGAAGAGGCCCAAACCATTTCATAACATTACTGCCTGGAAGTGTGGCTCTGAAGGCCATGAGCACCACTATAGTCTTCCCCAGAACACAAGAGATACAGAGGACAAAGGTGATGCCAAATGCAGTGTGGCGCAGCATGCAGGACCACTCAGAGGGACGACCGATGAAGGTGAGAGAGCACAGGAAACACAGACTCAGGGAGAAGAGCAGCAGGAAGCTCATTTCTGAATTGTTGGCTCTCACTATTGGAGTCTGTCTATAGTTGAAAAATATCAGTGCTATGGTAACGGCCAAGCAAGCGCCGAAGACCGAAAAAGAGACAAGAATTATGCCCATGAGTTCCCTGTAGGTGAGGTACTCTATTGCTTTTGGATCACACTTAGTCCTCTTTGCATTGGACTTGTACTCTGGAGGGCATTTATGGCATTTCACAGCATCTGAAAGGATAAAGACTTTTAGGCTGTGCCACATCCACGCCTTGAGAAAGTGCACAAATGTAGCTGTGGTTATTTTGCCCTTGAATAAAAGAATGAGGGCCAATGTGAAGGGCAGTACTCCTGCAGAGATCTCACTTGTGCTGTTGCTGTACTCTCCGTCAGCACACGCAATACAGTCGAAACAACACACAGGTTTCCCTTTGACGAAGGCCCGGCGGGTCCCTGGCAGACAGCTTTCACTGCACACAGATCTGGGCACCTGCAAGGACATACAGGGCAGGCATATAGATACATTTTACCCATTAAAACATAATAGACTGTGAGTCAGTTTTAGAGTGAATTACTGTATTTGCAATATTATATCTGGGTTAAATCTGGATTTTTGTTGAGTGAATAGTTGTTTTCTTTAATATTTTAGTTTTTAAAGGGTTTATTAATGTGACTCTGTGGTTTTCTGTCAAGTTAAAATTTAATATGCTTGTGCCTTTTAGCTTCATTTAGTGTACCTCTGGACTGTTGCCTGCCCATATTGCCTTTTCACCGCTCTTCATGTCAAACTGTTGACCTTCAGGTTGAGAGGCATCATAATATCCAATGGTCTTAAACAGTATATAACCTGTGGCATCCATATGCCAGTTTACAAGGGCATAGCGTGCCACAGGATCACCCACTGCATCGAAAAACACATTCTCACCAATCTTTGTGGTAAAATTCACTTGTGTTAGGTAATGCAATACCTGTGGAGACAGAAAGACAAATCATGATAACATTAAAATATGTCTTAATGCATTTTACTTATATTTAAAAAAAATATATGCACAAACATTTTTTATTTTACACTACCTGCCATGGTTTAATATTGCCCTTTTCAGCACATAAGTTATTCTCAAATGGTCCCAGTCCTTTTTGACATGTAAAGAGCATATGGAGTGCATGGGCTATTGCATATGTGGCCTTGTATACATTATTCAACAAACTGGCATCTGAAACATCAGAAAAGCGAGAGTCGGTATCCCACAAGGACTCACTGCCGTTGCATGCAGGCAGTAAGGATACAATTTCTTGTGATGGATTTAGTGTACATTTGAAGACCGACTCCCATAATTCCACTAGGCCCTGATTTCCCGGCTGAGTGGAGGGCCTGCTGTTAGCTAGAAACTCTTGCAGCCCAGGGATATGAGCATTCAGAGCAGCAAAGCCCACAGCCCCTTGCACCACAGCATAATTGACAGCAGAGGCAATGTAGCGATATGTGATCCACCCCTCACTGCCCACCCACTGCAGCCCTGTCACATTTTGAGCATGCAGTTCTTTGATGAGAATATCCAAGTCTGTTCCATCTGCAAACGCCACTATGACTTTAGAGGTGGATCTTTTGATAATGTCCACAACCTCCAGGAACCACTTTTTAGGGTCTGTTCTATATATTGCCACAGAATACTCTACACACACTCCTTCTTTTGCAGCAGCTTCCATGAATGTGGCCATCCCTCCATTTCCATAGTCACTTCTGGTCCGGATAGCACCCACCCATGTCCAGCCTAGATGTTTGACCAGTTTAGCCAGTGCCTTGCTTTGGTATAAATCACTGGGTATTGTTCTGAAGAAAGAGGGGTAGTCTCTCCTGTTGCTGAGACAGGCACAAGTGGCAGAATGGCTGATCTGGAAGAGATGAGAATAGAACAGTCTGACAAGCTATAGATCTATCAAGGCAAAACAGTCCATCTTTTAACATGCTTTTTGTCTTATATTTCTGCATTATAAAACTAAAATTATGACACAGTTTGGGTTGACAGATTCTCAGTGTAACTCGTGAATCATCAGTAGTAGGGAGGATATTGTATAAAAGTGGGCATATGGTCAAAAGTATCCAACATTCAGAGTAATTCTAGTCTCTGCCAAGTTGCTCTGCCCTCAACATATGCATCTGCCATGAACAGATTCTAAAGAAAAGTGTCTATCTTCCTGTGTGTCGCATACTCACTACAGGTATATGGAAGGGTCCCATGGTACGTGCAATGCCAATAGTGGAGGTAGAGGTGGTCTCCCCTATGACTGCATGCACCGTGGAGAGCTTCTCACAGCTCCCAGCTTCCCCGCTCTCATAACGATTCATTAGATTTAGTGACGCGCGGATAGACAGGGGGATGCTAGGGCAGGAGTCAAATATCCTATAACCCAGTGTCATGTCAGGCAAAAGTTCTGTGCTATTGTTAATCTCCTCTATGGCAAACATCATGGTGTATGCATACTGAAGTTCACCAGGATCCAACCTAGAAAATGAAAACATATTTAATTTTATGTACAAGTAAAAAAAATATTATATATTATATTACATGATATTATTACAGATGTCTTACCCACTGCACTCAATTGTCCCCGGGTTGGCTTGGAAAGCACTTGGAAAGACACTGACAGGGTTCTGGTGGAAGGAGAATATGCCTCCAATGTTGATGTCCCCCTCCTTAGAAAACTGGGACATCTCTTTGGTTGCATATGTTTTACAGTATGGATGACTTCCTCTGACAGAGAAAAATGTCAGAAGAAGCATCCCTGTGATCGGTAGCATGGCTGCTCACACTAACCCTGCAGAGGCAAAGAAGACACCTCTCCTCTTGGCATTTTATAGGATGTTTGCTTTGGGCTCTGGCGGATGGCAGAGGGTCTCAGGTGCAAGTTAGGGTAAGATGCTCTCAGCCAATTGCCATTCATCAGTGGTAAATAAAAAGGTTTACGCCAATGAGGTGTCTCCTGTTATCTTTGTTTTGTCTTAACAGCCCCCAGTAATATACATACATATACCAACATATAACAATACATGTACTTCCCAGTGCATAAAATATTAATTCTAAAGTTTGTTATATTATGTTGTGTTTCAAAATATTTTGATGCAGTAATGCATTTAGCATAGAGAATGTGTTTAATGTGGTAGAAAATTATTAGCTATAATTGTGATATATTGATACTTTGGCAGTGATTATCAATACGCCATAGGGGTGTTAATAGGAGATACTACTCAATCTGAAGCTCTGTGACTCAAATTAGAGCTTTATTTTGACACAGTCTGACCTGAACAAGCTAACTTAGCTGGAACTACAACAGGTGAGATGATTTGAGCTGCTAAACAAGTCTCTCACACATAAAATTACAGTCACAAGATAATTCAAATTAAGAGCTTTTCAGTGAGTAACATTCACCTTTTTGGTGGAAAATCAAACACCCTAATTGGATCACGAACATTCGTAATCCCATACTCCTGAAAATGTGTTGTTTAAATCAATTTTGTATTTTTCTTGAGTTTCAGACAATCTTTAAACTTTTTTGTTTTGTGTGTCACTATGGTTATTACATGTAGAACACCTCCAGTATGAGGCCATTGCAAAGTATCAATAGACCTAAATCAGCTAATTAATAATAACATAATGTGGAAAATATTTTGCTATATTTGATCGTGAAATAAAAGATACTTTTTTGTGTTTTATTGTTATATTTACACGGATGGAACAATATTTATTTTATCATAATTCAAATAATCTGAACTGTCTGTGCTTTACACATAAACAATTTTTTTCCATTGAGGTTTATTCATAATATGTCACTATTCTGAACCTATCCAAATCATTTAACCATTTATTCTTCCCATCATGTGCTTTTTGGTGTTTCTTTCTGGTCTGAGGATTAACACATAGCATTTTGGAAAGAAAATGCAGAAAAGTAAACCTAAAGTAGAGGCCAGAATAGCAAATATCTCCACGGCAACAGTGAACTTTCCTGGAGAGCTGACATAAGCTGGGATAAAAGTGATCCAGACTGCACAGAAGATCAACATACTGAAGGTGATGAACTTGGCCTCATTAAAATTATCAGGAAGTTTACGAGCCAAGAACGCCAACACAAAACACATTAGTGCAAGTACACCAATATAACTCAAAACTGCCCAGAATCCAACAACAGATCCCAAGTGGCACTCAAGAATAATTTTATCCTTTGCATAAACTATATTTTTATGCGGCAAAGGTGGAGCTATGCTTAACCACAACACACATACTACGACTTGTATCAGTGTACAGACAAAAACACTTGTTCTCTGAACGGGAAGAGAGCACTGGGGAGATGTATTTGCAGGGCGTCTAAATTTAAATGCCACTACAACTGCGATAGTCTTAGCCAAGATACAAGACATGCTCAAAGCAAAGGTGATGCCGAACGCAGTGTGACGAAGCATGCAGGACCACTCAGAGGGACGACCGATGAAGGTGAGCGAGCACAGGAAGCACAGTGTTAGGGACACCAACAGGAGGAAGCTAAGTTCAGAGTTGCTGGCTTTTACAAGAGGGGTGTGACGAAACCAGAAAAACACACACATCACCATTATGGTTAAAGAGGCTCCAAACAAGGACAAAGCAGCAAGCAGGGTGCCCATGGCCTCCTCATAGGATAGGAACTCAATCACCTTAGGTACACACTGGCTGTGATTCCTGTTGGACCAGTACTCAAGTGGACATAACAGGCAATCAGAATCTGCAGAAAGAGTCCAGATGTATAGAATTGCGTATTTCTAAAAAAGAATTATTACAATATTACCATTGCTTACTGTTTTCATGGCTGATTTCTCCAGCAGCACATCTGACACAGGAGAAGCAGCAGGGAGGTTTCCCTTTAATCTGGGCCTGGCGGAAACCAGGGGGACAACTCTCACTACACACAGACTGAGGCCTCTGAAAAGAATTTCACAAATATATCTGACCTGTTTGTAGAACTGTATAACATCATAAATCATATAAGATCAATACTGCAAATACATTGATATTCCTGTACCTTCCTGTAACTTACTATAACTTTTATTTGATTATTATAGGAGATTTTTATCAAGTAATCAGATTATACAAATACAATCATAAATATTAATTGTTCAGTCAATAAATTTCAAGAATTAAATACTAGATTTTTTGCGGTACCTCTTTGAAATGAGGAGCCCATGTTATTTTTTTTCCATTAATTTTAAACTGCTTCCCATTTGAAAGTAACGCATCATAACTTCCAACAGTAACAAAAGAAATTCCCCCTTCATCACTTTTTTGCCAGTTCACAAGCTCGTATGTGGCTGAAGGGTCTCCATTTTCATCAAAATGAACCATGTCACCAGATTTCAGAGTGAAATTTACTTTCTGAAGTTGCTCCACAACCTAACAACATAAAATATATAAATAAACAGGCACTTTATGATTATTATGGTATGCATCTCTTACTTGGTTTGTATCAGTTGTATTCTGTGAAATGCACTCCTGTTCAGTGCATTTGAATATATTGTGAAAAGCATGAGCTACTGCATAGGCAGATTTGTAGACATTGTTTGATATCCGTAGCTCTGATACATCAGTGAAAGGGCTTTCACTATCACTTAGTTTCTCCAGTGACTGTCGTCATGGTACTGGCCTGAAACCTTCCAATCCCCCAGAATTCCTTGCAGCTGTTAGAGGTCCTCATTGGGTGCCTTGAAGAGAAATTCTCTCACCTGGAAATTCTTGCACAGTTGGCAACCTTTTAAAGAAGTGTAAAATCAATACAAGAGCATCTATATAATCATGTTCCTTAGTGGCATTAGAAGATTTTCAAAAGACAGCATTAAAAATTGGATCCTGGCTGATCTTCACTGTTTTCCCTTGGCAATGTCTGTGCTTTAGCCTATTATGTCAATTTATGGCTTACCATGTGCTTCTGTTTTCTTTTTTGGCAAAAGGATACACCTGAATTTTCACCTATTTTCATAATATTGATAATAATATGAATTCCAGGGATTGCTCTGGCATTTCTACTGATCTCATGGTAAAATCAAGTTGAGATTTTCTTAGTGAAGAGTGTATCTATGTAGTTGGACTTGTCTGACCAGAGCATGTCCCTCCCCTAGTTCCCCCAGAAGATATTACTGCTGCTTGGGCTGAACCACAGCTGTCAAGTACATACCCCGAAAGTTCTCCAGCAGAAGATGTGTCATGAAAATATCATTGTAGGCGGCCAATTTCCTGAAAACTCATAACACAATGTTAAGAAAATTCTACATGTTTTAGAAATCAGGAACCTTTAAAAGTTATTTTCTGATATTTCCAAAGACATCTGAATCAAGATTCAATTAACTGCCTCAGACAAAATACAAAATGCTATAAAAGAATACAAAAACATAATATTTATGAAAAATTTTCAGATATGAAAACATGGGCTTCCAATAGAGTTTAAAGATATTATTGCAGCTTTGAAAATTCAAGTAAAAGAAAAACCTGGGATTGAACAAAACAGTAGGATTAATTCTGTTTTTCCTAGATTTTGTTTCTGCCAGGAAATAATATATGATTTTGTGCCATAACATTATCATAACTTGAAGCCAGTAGCAATAATATCCACAGCGACAGTTAACTTCAGAGCCATAAGCTGGGATAAAGTGATCCAGACTGCACAGAAGATCAACATGCTGAAGGTGATGAACTTGGCCTCATTAAAGTAATTATCAGGAAGTTTACGAGCCAAGAACGCCAACACAAACACAACAAAGCTAACAGACCTATGTATCCAAGAACTGCCCAGAAACCAATGGTGACCCAAGGTTGCACTGAAAATTATTTTATCTTTATAATATGACATGTTCCTATTTGGAAAAGGAGGGTTAATTGTTAACCACAGAACACAGATAAGGACTTGGATAAGAGTAGCTCCAAAAACACTAAGTCTTTGAGGCCAAACCATTTCATGACATTACTGCCTGGAAGTGTGGCTCTGAAGGCCATGAGAACCACTAAGTCTTCCCCAGAACACAAGAGATACAGAGGACAAAGGTGATGCCAAATGCAGTGTGTGGCGCTGCAGAACCACTCAGAGGGACGACCGATGAAGGTGAGAGAGCACAGGAAACACAGACTCAGGGAGAAGAGCAGCAGGAAGCTCAGCTCAGAGTTATTGGCTTTTACTAAGGGAGTATCTTTGTGGTACAAAAACAAAATGGCTGTTGATATGGTTAGTCCTGCACCCAGCACAGTGAAAAACACAAGTATTTTGCACATGACATCACTGAAAGAGAGGAACTCAATGCTTTTGATAACACACATAGTTCTGTTTTCATTGGACCAGTATTCTTCAGGACACTTAATGCACCCATTAGAATCTGCAAAGAGAAGTAAGTTACCACACACAAAAGTAGTATTTCACAAACATTAAGAGGAGACACAAAGGTTGGAAAGCAAATCTAGTTCTTATATTCGTATATTTCAGGTCAGATGTTCTTATTGTACCTGTTGTGTTGCTAATCTCTCCTTCTGGACATGGGGTACAGTCATAGCAACAAACAGGCCTCCCTTTCTGCAAAACTTTGTGAGTTCCTGGATGACAACTTTCACTGCACTGTGACACTGGTACCTAAAGAATCGGAGTACAACAAGTAATTGGTAAGCTGAGTGAATTTAAAAGTCTGCTGAATCACTTGGTAAATTTGTTACTTTAAGTACAACAGTG